TTGGTGAGCTCAAATGATCAAATATTTAGTTTAAAAATTGGTTGACGACCTTAGAGAAAAAGAGATAACTGCAAAACACGCCAAGGTTTTATTTTCCGGGTACGCAAAGGAGTCCCACACAACAGCAATGGTGAACAAGGCTGGCAGAAGGATTTTACCTCTGAATGTGGAGAGAAAAGTAGGAGAAGTGGAGAACTGCTGTTTTTTGGGGAAGGTGTCTGAGAAGGCGATCATTTTTCAACGTGAATTGCTACTTCCATTCCACTTGTGCACTGCCAGCTATGGCTAATGAAATAGTAAGTACGTCTTGGTCTGGTACTCTGGTTAAGTTCAACAACGTACATCTCTTCCACCACGTGTTGCAAATGAAATGGTCAGAATCACAAGAGACATAGCAGGTTTTGTTTACTTCCAGCACATCAAACATTGTCTTATAATAGGCTAATATAATTAGGAATCTACCTAATAGATATTTAGGAATCTGCCTAATATCTATTTAGGAATATTTTGTATTTTGGCAACTCTTCTATTATAAATATATCTGTCAGGACTCCTATTGGAGTACCCCTTTCCCATTATTTCACATGGTATCAAGAGCTTAGGTTTTTAGACACATTTTTTTCTCTTTTTTTTTTCGGTTCCCATGAACCTTATTATAGCTGCCGCCGCCTCGGGGTCGACTGCCGCCACATTTACGGTAGTCTTCGATCCTTTGAAGATGAGCGCGGCTAATATGGCGCAGATCACCTCCTTCGCGTCGCTGAACACGGTGCTTGCTTCCAGCGTGCTGTTGAGTTCGCCGCCTGCTGCTGCCTATGTCTGCGCAGCCCACCTTCTCTGCGTCGCTGACCACGGTGCTTGCTTCAAGCGCGCTGTTGAGTTCGCCGCTGGCTGCTGCAGACATATATTCTCATGGAGATCTTATTGTCAAAGATGTGCCTTCTAATCTTCCGCTCACGGATATATTTACTAAGAGTTTTTTTTAGTAATAAAAAAAACTGTGCGGGAGATACAACGCGCAGGTTGTATCTACCTTATTATTAGGAATATTTAGGAATCTACCTAATTAGGAATCTACCTAAAAACTGTGCAATTTAGGAATATTCCTAAATTTTTTCACATGGTATCAAGAGCTCTAGGTTTGTAGATACAATTTTTTTTCTTTTTTCGGTTCCCATGAACCTTATTATAGCCGCCGCCGCCTCGGGGTCGACTGCCGCCACATTTACGGTAGTCTCCGATCCTTTGAAGATGAGCGCGGCTAATATGGCGCAGATCACCTCCTTCGCGTCGCTGAACACGGTGCTTGCTTCCAGCGTGCCGTTGAGTTCGCCGCCTGCTGCTGCCTATGTCCGCGCAGCCCACCTTCTCTGTGTCGCTGACCACGGTGCTTGCTTCAAGCGCACTGTTGAGTTCACCGCTTGCTGCTGCAGACATATATTCTCATGGAGATCTTATTGTCAAAGATGTGCCTTCTAATCTTCCGCTCACGGATATATTTAGTAAGAGTTTTTTTAGTTTGCAATTTCATTTTTTTTAAAGACAGCCTGCGCGTTGTATCTCCCGCACAGTTTGAGGGGGTGTAATAGGCTAATATAATTAGGAATCTACCTAATAGATATTTAGGAATCTGCCTAATATCTATTTAGGAATATTTTGTATTTTGGCAACTCTTCTATTATAAATATATCTGTCAGGACTCCTATTGGAGTACCCCTTTCCCATTATTTCACATCTTATACAACTGAGGCTACAACGTCTGGGCCGAGATTGTGAGCAAAATTGACAGAGCCACACATGCGAGTATCACTGCTATTGTGTGCCACCGCAACACCATTTTTAGCTTCTCCGATCTCTCGAGAGAGCTACTGCCGTAATATTTTATTCTAGTTAACCAACAATTCTATTTCTGAAAAATGATGCATAAATAGCACTTAATCCACATCCATAAATAATGATGCACTAATGTGCTTATTAAATTCTTAACCTCACCTCCTACCACGCTTAGCCGACTAATGAATAAAGGGATTTAATATATTGTGTTAATAACTTAGTACTGCTAAGAGGCTCTCAGTGGAGAAATAGATTTACTTTTAGGATTAAAAAAGTGGTATTTTAAAAAAGTGTTGAGCCAAAACACATTTTTCTCTTTTTTTTGTGTGGGCATAAATAAATGGAAAATGTAATGGTAAAGAAAGTGAATGCCCTTCTCAAGTTCTCAACCAACATAGAGGAAGGATTTCTTAAGATGCACAGGAGAGAAGTTTCCATCAATCTGGTTAATATGGGAGGGAAGCCTCTATTGCCAGCAACAAGCTTCTTTTCATAAGCATAATACTCACAACTCACCAACAAAAAAATATGGTTAACCCCTTTGATGAAGCACATGGATTTATGACGCAAGACTTGAGGTTTCCATATGAGATTGTTAATTAGAACTTCGGACATCATTAGCTTACCCGAAGAAGGGGATCGATAAGCTCATTAGTATCGTCGTGATGCCCAACACTCCTTATTGCATGATCGATGACCGTTAACTATCTTCCATGAGGCACTACAGTGGATCTCATCATCAATGGCGATTTAACATCCTTAAGAAATCATCAATAACCTATCTTAATTAGTACCGGTAACATCAACGTGGTTTTCTGTTTCCCAAACTTTTTTAATGTATATATTGATATGCTGATTTGTATATGTATATTTATTCAAATGGGATTATTTGCTTTTAGTAAATTAGTGAGGTAAGTCTGCCTGGGGATTACACCACGCCAGTCATATGTAGGCTCCTCTGGGGAGGAAAAGTATTCTTCCACAAATGGAGTTGTATCCACAAATAATATCTCAGCAACTTTTGGAAAAAGGGAAAATAAACGTAATTGTAACATATTTAAGGAAGAAAGAAGAAATCTCACCTACATTGACAATAAATGAGCTTAAACACAGCCTATCAACTTCCTAAGGTAAGGGCTCAATTGAGCATCTGCATCTCCCCTGTAATCATGGTTTCCTAATAGGCTAATACTGCCAAATCATTTCATTTTGTGACCAATATTTTCATGATTGAAAAAGAAAGAAAATGTAAGAAAAAAAGATTTCTTCAAGGATCATCTTATACATAGCAGAACACCATCGTTTCTGCAAGCTTTATGTCAACCCATTGGCATAAAAATTATCACCCGTTGATACAACAAAATCAACGTCCAATATCTCTCCAATTCTCCCCATCTGCGCCCAAACACCATTATCAAAATCAGAATTTTGCTTAACCTCAAAAACATTTTTCTTGAATTCATAACAATGCCATGAAACTCAGATTCCCATCACGCCATGAAAAAGTGGAAGGTCTAGAGGCTTCTTCCCTCAGAACAAGGTCCGCTTTACATCTTTTAGAAGTGTGTATAGCAAAAGGCTAAAAAATTTGTGAGGTGTTGGAGCGCTGTCAATGGTGAGGTGCTGGAACTGAAAAGAGAAGGTGAAAGGAAAGCGTTTGTTTCCAACGACTTGAACTAAATCAAGTGGATAATAGAATTGAATCTGCGAAGCCGCGAAGGAAGATGTCACCGTTTAACATTCCCGTTAAAACGGAAAGTTAAAATGAGGTCTGATGTACAACAAAGTAAACCTAATGTATAATGACTTAATGCATTAAGAGACACTAACATTTTTTTTATCACCATTATGCCCCTAAAAGTATTCCCTCTTATAATATTGTAGAGATAATTCTGTTGTGCAACGTGTAAAATATAAAGTTGCACTATAAAAAGAAGTCTGTGCATTATTGGACATTATATATATATAATTCTGTTGTGCAACGTGTAAAATATAAAGTTGCACTATAAAAAGAAGTATGTGCACCTGAGCATATAAAGTGTGGATTTATTTGATTTTGAATACTACGTAATTTATTCAAAATGCATGACATATAAATATAACAAATTCTCAACTAGCATCTCTCATGTACTTTATTTTTATTTGATTTTGCACCTTTTTGAAAGGCACTTTTCATTGAATCGCTTTGCACCTTTCTTGTGTATGTGTGCACTTAGCTTTTTGGATATTATCTATGTAATTCACTTGTGCACCGTGTAAAGCATAAAGTTGCACTATAAAATTTGAGGCTACAAATGATCAAATTCAAATTATGCAATATCCTACTCATCTTGTAAAATTATAATAAGCGAAATAAAGATGTAAAAAAGATAACACGTAAAGTAAAAGTTCACAATTATATAATACGTTACAAAATAATGTTTATTGGGATACTACAATTTCACGATTGAAAATAATTTTTTTGAAAATAAAGAGCACGATTGAAAATAAATTAAAGAGCACAAATTAAAGAAAAATAAAAAATTGTTTAAACTACTCAGTACATAAAAGCAAACAACCGGTTAAGAGAAAGTAAAGAAACAAGTGTAAAGACATAATAAATAAACATATATACTCAAAAGGAAGGAACGATTAAAAAAAAAACTCAAAAGGAAGGAATCAAACGGTAATCCTAAAATTTTGGAAGGTAATAAATACGTATATTGAAATGGCATAATAGCCCCCTCGGCATATTAGTAGCATGGGAGAATTAGGAGATGATCTAATGGCCTATATTTATTCTCATTTCTCTTTTAAGATGATTTTCTCATTTGAACATAAATCTATATATATATATATATATATATGGGGGGTGTTTGGATCTGATTCTCAAAACTGATTCTGCTCCTTCAGGGAGCAGAAGCAGAAGCTGAAGTGTTTGGGTGAAATTCCAGAAGCACTTCTGGAGCTCAAATTTACTCTCAGAATCAGTTTTTTTAGAAGCTGAGAGGTAACAGCTTCTGAAAACTAATTCTGATTCTACTTCTGCTTTTAAAAAAAAAGTAGAAGCAGAATCAGTTCCAAACACTCCTATATATAGATATAGATGGGGAGTTTTTTGCTCCAAAAATTCGTTTAAGGACTTAAATGCCCTTTAGGTATAAGTTTAGGGGGGATTTGCCCCTTTTCCATCATCCACTCAGTATCCCCTATGTGACAAAGTTCCATCATCCATCCACACACGGTGAAGGATGGAGATGCGTAGACTACAGAGAGAGAAGTGAATAAGGAGAGGATGAAGTGGTCATGCTTTCCATGGCCAAACCTCATCTCTTCACCCATCGCATTGTGTTCGAGCTCGTTTCCTTCAAATTCCCCTTGCTGCCTCGTCAAGCCTTCTGTGACTCCAGTTGTTCTCTCCTCCAGAAGACCTCCCTACAACTCCCTTGTCTCCCAGGTCGCCACCGCCCCCTTTATATTTATATATACACACATACCCAGTGGCATCATGCTTGCGTAGTTACGTTCTTCCCATTTTTGTTTTGTGCGAATAAATCAAATTCAGCCTCTGTTTGACTGCAGTTTAAGTTAGATTTATGTATTCTTCATCCCTAAATACTTCGATTTGAAAGTTTATAAGGATAACTACGCCTGGTGATCAAACATTGTTTTCATGCTCATCTATTTAATCCATATTTCTGCCAAGTTGCTCACCGAACAATAGATTATGCTTTCAATCTTAGGGTCCGTTTGAACAAGTAAAATGCCAGGGAAAGAAAAGAGAGAACAAAATATACTCCATAGTTTATATTTGGAACGAAAAAATATCTTGAGCAAATCAGCAAAATAAGTCATTCTTAAAAGTTAAAAATAAACTTAGGTTTTTCCTAAAATATTACTAATAAAAAAGTGAAGGACAAAAAATGTGACTTGATAACTTTTAGTGACTATATTTCTATTCAAAGTTTACATCATAGGCACTAGATCATAGGAACTCTCAACACAATTATAGTCGCTAAAAGTTACCAAGTCACATTTTCAAGGAGTAACATTAGTGGAATATTTTCAAACTAAATAACTTAAGGTTTAATATTTCTTTGAATTACATAATTATTTATTAATTTGTATTGGATAAACTATTTCTTTAGGTGAAATTTGACTTCGCACCCCACTCTTTGGCTATATTGGGCTTTGTCCCCCATTTTGGATAATTATTGGCATTTTCTTTACCTCCTAGTATTTTCTGAGATCCAAGCATATCCTAAAAGGTTCTTTATGAACTGTTCAAGTGCTTTGCTCAATTTATCTATTTCCTCTCCTCCATGCCAAATGCGCTAATTGCTGCCAGGCAGTAAGGCTGCTGGGTCCTCCTGCAAAATTCGATGCTTCAAAGCTCAAAGTTGCATTTACCAGAGAAGAGACTTGTACATATAGCAGAGTTTTGCCAAGAATTTACACACTTTCACATTGCGATTTTACAGCAAATTTGACATTAACTATCTCAAATGTCATCCACCGCGATCAGGTAATGCTTCTAATCTAAACTCATTTGTGTAATTATCCTACTATGATGGAAAGCTCTTCTATCTGTTTCCAGCATCATGATGAAGCAGTCTTGAGAAAAATAGGCCTATGATATGGTTCTGGTAGACTCCTTGATAGGGATAAAGGACTTATTCAGTATTTTAACAAAGTTTACAAGAGGAGAAATAAGGAGTTTACTAATAAGTAGCAAGTCAGTAGCCTTTCTAATCCCTGCGTGGATATTTACTATAAATAGAAGGGGGGAATAGCTAAATAAGATAGGCTGTTATTTTATTTGGGTGCTGCCTTGGAGAGTGGGCTTCTCTAACAGTCTCGGTTACCTTGTTGCCTAAGTCGAGACATTTCCTATCAATAAATATCATTTTCCCTCTTTCTTTATCAGATTTGTGTTGCTTGTTCATTACTTTTGCCAGGTTTATTGCCATATTCTTATCATTGGTATCAGAGCAGTTGCTCCTGGGAATCGGATTGTGGTAGCGACTTCAACATAGCTCTCGTTTCAGAGGTGGATGGTAAAAACGAGATCTAAAATGGAGCATCGCATGGAGGCGTTTGAGCAGGAGATGAGGGCGGCTATGGCAAACTTCACAACTACGATAAATGAACAGATTCAGAATAGCATCGCAACTTCGATGGCAGCTTATCAAACCAGGGATGATCATTCCAAGGGGTGATCACGATCACATCACCGCCGTCATTCGCGATCACCATATAGCTCATCTCATTCCATAGGTAATTCCGTACACTCTCCAGTCCACATTCGTCGAGTTCTTACGGGTAGGAAGGTGGATCTACCTATGTTTAATGGGGAGGGTGTTTACAACTGGATTGTGAGGATGGAACGTTATTACAGACTGAATAATATTGAGGAAGAAGATAAGGTGGAAGTATCTGTTGTGGCAATGGAGGACAGGGCTTTGAACTGGTTCCAATGTTGGGAACATCAAGCAGATGAAAGAACTTGGGAGAATATGAAGGATGCTGCGATCCGCAGGTTCTTACCGGATTTAATACAGAATCCATATGGACCTATGCTGAGTTTGAGACAAACGGGAACTGTGAGAGAGTATAGGGAGGAGATTGAAATGGGGCATCTTTATTAATGGTCTCAAGGAGGAGGTTAAGACCGAACTCAAACTGTATAATTCCAGATCATTATCGGACAGGGCCCTATTGATAGAACAGAGAAATGATGCTACATATGTGAGGGGCAAAGCTGAAGATAAAACTACTGGGAAGGATAAGGGGCCTATGAATTATAAGGCGTGTGAATCTATGGGGAAGAAGGCAACTGAAATCAATCCAAAGTATAAGGCGTGTGGGACCCCACCTCTCTCAAGAGGAGTATCAAGATAGAAGCAGGAGGGGCCTTTGTTTTAAATGTGGTGAAAAATGGAGTTAAGGAATACACTTGTAAGATGAAGAACTATAAACTGATATTGGTAGAAGATTCTGATAGCGAGGAAGAATTGGACATCACAGATCCTGACACACCAGAAGTGGAAGAGGTTACCATGGAGTCAAAATCTATGCAGCTGTCCCTTATGAGTAAAGAAGGGATACCTTCTGATGGATCGTCGGACTAGGGGTACCGGAATCCACCGAAAGTAAGAGTAAGGAGAGTGAACTGATCGGAAAGTGCAGATCGGAAGTTTTTATTAGCTCCAGTAATGCGATAGTTTTAACCTCCCTTTCCACAAGGTTGGAAGGTGATATTTATATTACGGGAAAAAGGGGAATACTTGGCGGGCAAGTAAAAAGATGCTAGTCTAATAAGAGAAGGACACGTGTAAAGTTAATCTAACAAACTAACCGCCTAATCCGCTGGGAGGCTGCCATGCGTAAAGCTGATTGGAGGGAGAATAATCAATAGCTGGCTGATTGATTATTCTCCTAACAGATTTCCTAATGGAAGCTTCATGTGGTTGCACATGGGCAATCGGGAGCATCCTTCCGGTGTAGGAAGTGTCGTGGCGGTGTTCCCTTGTAGGCGGATCTATGAGGATTCTGTCTAAGTGTGCGATGCCTTGTGATGACCTCGAGGGATACCGAGGTTGATGCTCGGGGGCTCGGCCTCACGACGGGGGAATCTGCCTCGTGGTCCTTTGCCCCCGTTTCAGGGGTAGTTGAGTATCTAGCGCCTTGCTGGCAGACTTCGGTCTTGATCTCTGTGGTCAGCATTCGTGCCGACCTTGGGTGTGTCGAGGTCGGGGTCAGGTTTTGCCGAGTCCGGCTGATTCTTGAGCTTGATGTCTTCCGACCTCGGGGTCGGGGTCAGATGTCCTCGTTATTCGCTGGATCCAGTTGGTGTCTGAGCTCGGTGCTTTCCCGACCTCGTGGTCGGGGTGTCTAGGGGAACCGTGGGCTTAGCTTTTCTAGTGTCTTTGATGCACTCGTGGTATTTTCCTCCCGGTGATCGTGATACCCCTGGGGTATGTGGGAATATACTCCATCACCTTCTATGAGGGCTTTTAAGGTAAAAGGTTGCTTAAAAGGAAAATGGGGAGAGGAAGGAGTAGAAGTGCTCAGATAGTGGTGTTACCCACAATTTTATATCCCAAAGGATGGTAAATCAACTGAATATACCTCATGAGACCATTGCAGGGTACAAGGTGCAAATTGGTAATGGAGATCAACTGACTAACAATAGAAGATGTGGGGGAATGACTTTATGCTTACAAAAAACTGTAATCCAACAGGATTTTTACATCCTGGAATTGGGTGGTATTGGGGATGGAATGGCTTACCAGTTTGGGAATGTAGAAATCAATTTCCAAAAGCAGAGCATCAAGTGGAGGGAACTGGGAAGGATGCAAGTGATACAAGGAGATCCACACCTAAATTCTCTTGAAGTTTCCTTAGAGACTATGGCTCATATTTTGCAGGATGCTGGAGATGGCTACTTGGTATATTGTGAAGGGAAGACTGAAGAAATGAATGGTGAGAAGGAGGTAGATGAAATCTGGAAACAGATTCTAGCAGAATTTCCAGAAGTTTCTCAGCCTATGAAACATCACCACCTAGTATGGCTTGTAACCATGCCATACGCATCCAAGAAGGAGCATCTATTTCAAATATAAGACCCTACAGGTACCCACAATACCAGAAGAATGAGATTGAAAGGATCATAAAAGAGATGTTAAGTGAAGGAATCATTCAGCCCAATAATAGCCCCAACAGTAGTCCTATCTTACTAGCTAAGAAGAAAGATGGGGGCTGGAGGTTCTGTGGTGACTATAGGGCCCTCAACAGGATCACTATACCTGATAAGTTCCCAATACCAATCATTGAAGAGTTGCTAGATGAATTGGGGGGAGCTGTGATTTTCCAAGCTTGACCTCAAGTCTGGTTATCACCAAATAAGGATGAGGAAGGAAGATATTCAGAAAACAGCCTTTCGAACACATGAGGGGCATTGTGAGTCCTTGGTGATGCCTTTTGGCCAACCAATGCCCCCTCTACTTTTCAGGCCCTCATGAATCAAGTTTTGAGACAATTTCTAAGAAAATTTGCTTTGGTTTTCTTTGATGACATTCTAGTGTATAGCAGGACTAGGGAAGATCATCAAGAACACTTGAGGAGGGTCCTGGGAGCACTAAAGGAGAACCAGCTTGTTATTGTTAGGGACAGACCTCTTAGGATATTAAATAAAAGAGTTAGTGTAGTTATATTTCTGTTTGAGATAATAACTACATTCTGTTAGTGGGATACTATAAATAGATGTAAAGTGAGAATAGAGAGGAGGCATTTTGACTGTTTAGTATTTTCTGGGAAGATTGAGAATTATCTCTTTCTTGGGGCTTCGGTGATAGGAACAATCCAGGTATGCAGCAAGAATCACAGAAAATATCAAGAACAACTGAGAATTTTATTGATGAATAAGATGACAGTATCGGTAACCTAGGCCGAAGCCTCCCAATGAGCCGAAGCCCCCCAAAGAACGAGAATAGCTCTCGATCTCCCAAAGTCCCAAATGACAAATGTCTAAAAACAGCCTACTCGACTTCTCCCCAGTTTAGTCTATTTATACTAACTATTACACTTATTATTATTCTGGGTTTATTAGGCCCAATACCTAACAGTCCATTAGGCCCAATCCCTAACATACTCCCCCCTAAACATCCACCTTGCCCTCAAGGTGGGTAATAGGACACAGCCACAACCTTTATCTTTTCTTTCATCCTAGCACTTCTTCCTTTCCAATACTGGCATGATTTCTGGACCCTTAGCTTGGCTGATTCCATTTTTTTTCCTATGTATTTCACAGCAGAATTACACAACTGCCATGACATTCTATCCCGAATTGACTTGAAAACATCAGGGTACTCCTTTATAAACTCATTCCTTCTGCCTTCAATTCTCTGTTCTTGCTTCTGCTTTGTGCTTTGTGCTTTGTCCTTCACAGTACAACCAATACCCATCACCTTGAATAACATGATTCAGCCCTTGTTTCTTCCATTTTATGATCTGGTTTTGGAAATTAACTTCCATATCACCTAGATCAGTCAACCATTCCAATCCTAGCACCATGTCAGTCCCACCAAGCTCCAACATATAAAAATTCTGTTGAATTTCATTGCCCTGCACATTCAGTTTCATCCCTTCACATCAACCATAGTTGGAGATCAGTTTTCCATTCCCTATGTGTACCTTATATCCCTTGATACTTTGAAAAGGTATCTGCCATCTTTCTACAAGTTGTTGGGATATAAAGTTGTGGTGATCGCGGTGTTGATGTCGACGTGAAGGAGAATAGTCGGAATTGTTTTCCGATCCCTCTGGACTAGCTGACTGTCGCGAACGATGAGGGTGAGTTGAACGATGATGGTGAAGTGAACGATGATGGTGGCGACGCGGTGGTGAATAGTTGTCATTCCCTTCTGTGATTCCTCAGAACTCGCTGAATGTCGCGATTGGTGATGGTAATGCGAAGGGTGATGGTGAGGCGAATGGTGATGATGCGAAGTACGATGCGAGGTA